ATAACATTTATTAACAAAAGTTCATGTTAGAAAAATACAACTTTATCCAGGATTTATCACAAATAATGTTCAAACATTCTACTTTTGAAGCTTTTGAGACCAAAATCTCTAAAAGTTCTTCTCAAAATATTTCAATATTGCTGCTTCTTACGATAAAAGATATGGCTTACAAGAAAAGATGATTCTTTCACATTTTATAAATACATCATGTCTACTGTTTACATCCAAAATAAGTTGTATGTCAATGAAGTTAACAGTTAATAAAAAACGAATTTTTCTATTTACATAATGACACAGAAAGCTAAATGTAAATTCATGACATTTTCTAGATTTGAAGGTACGTTAGGAAATTGTTTTTTGTTTTCGATCTAGAATGCACATATTAATTTGATATTTTAAACTACTATTGCTTACAAATCTAACTTACCAAGATATATACATAGTCTGCATTTTTAGGATATAACTGTTTAGACACATAAAGAAATACTAGTATGGTCCATCTTACAGTTTGGGTTGTGTTCTTCAAACTTATCTGAGGGGCAAATTTCACTGACAGCTCGATACCCTTTAATATTTAGGAATAACACAAATTGAAATATATGAATTATAAAATACTGGATTGCCAAGATTAATTTAACTTTCATACAAGTCTAATAGATTTCAATTAGCGTAAAATTATTTTATTCTTTCTAATCAGACTCTCCTACTGACTTGTGCTCATTAGTCATATAGTTGTCAATGTCTTCAACTTGAGAATCAACCTGTTCTATTGTCATACAATATTTGAAAATAATGAAATCAAGAACTAATATATTTCGTCTGATGTATAGCAACACAGAACAATGACTGTAAGTGTAAATTATTTTCATATAGATATTGAGAATTTGTTAGACAATATGTTAAATACTATGATGTTACATCACTATATCATTGGAACATTAAGTATCGTGAATACCATAGTGGATGTTTTGAATACAATGCTATACTTGCAAGTTCTGTATTTCATGATAATAGGTATGGTGTACAAGAAATGTCATATCTGTCTTTTTACATAAAATTAGTTACATTGATATAAATTCACATAAAAACCATGTTAGAAATTTACCATCATGATTAAATATATCTCCAGAGGCCGATATTCAATGACCATGCTTATTATAATTAAGTTAGTATTGTTCCTACCTAAAACATAATAGTCTTTACAACTTAAACGTCAACGAGATTGTTATAAGATTTACTAAAATTAGTAAACTTCATTATAGTAACAGAAATAAGATAAAGTCATAACGTGTTATCATATGGTTCTCTCTTAAGTTGGAGTCATAAAAACAACTATATTATTATATTAAGGACTCAATGGTGTCTAGTGGGGATGGTAAAATGTTGTTCAAATATTTTTGTGATTATCAATAAAAATCGTTCTTTTTCTGGTAAATGCGTGTACAACACAGAGCTTCTTGTCTCTGCATTGTCTACTTTCGTCAGCAACCTCGAAGTCTCATGCTAAAACTGTCTACTGTATACGTACAAGGGTCTGCAAAATGTAGACAAACAATGTGATAATCAAAATTTTCCTCTTACAGTAAGTTAGTCAACCACACGGTTCTCCTTTACGATATAGAGTGGCAAAATACTTATGTTCAATCTATAATAAACTTATGATGACATTTTTGAGTCACGGAAACGTCTAAACACGTGGCAGTAAGACTGATCATATGTTCAAAATTCATTGTGAGGAAAATTATGGTTTGAAATAGTTGAAAAACCAATTTTTCTGAGCCCACAAACTGAATTCTTACATATTTAGTTTGCATCCAATCCTTTATTCGTTTATTTATGTAGTGATATGATTTACTATGATGTATTAAAATGTCTCGTGATAAATTCGGTGTTTGTTTTCAAATAATATTACATAAACGAAAAATATAAACTCAACTGAAATAGTAATATGGAGATAATGTAGAAAAATTTGTGTGAAAGCTAATCCATTATATTATAAGCTAAAGGGTTGATAGTATAGTAGTTATTTTGAAGTTTTGTTAATAAATGTATCAGTATGCTTGTCAAGTTTGTGTTTTCACAATGTTGCTATAAAGTATATTCTGTAATGATTAACAGTAAATGTGCTGGATTTATAAAGTATGAAAGAATAATCACTTGATGTATAATTAAAGGTTCTTTTAAGATTATGATTGTCAACTCTTTTTTTCAGTTATAAACTATGTTCATTTGTAAAAAATATATTTGAGTTTTTGGTGGACTAACAAGTTTAAATGTTATAGTTTACATAAAGTGGAGTTTTGAAAGATACGGAAATATAATTTCTGATTTGTCTGTCAGTTTTATAGAAATGAAAGCATTACTTGTTTTACCCTTAGGCGAGCACAAGGGACAAGCTTTCTGAACTTGCCATCAGCTGGGATATGTCAGTAATAGGTTGAAAGAGTGACTTATCCATAGTAAACTTTTGTTTTACGAAATGATAAGAATATTACATATCGAGCCTATATGCATACATTTCCAGTCAGGAAGAAACAAGCTATAGACAAGAGTTTGCCAAAATATCTACAGAAAGGTAAGAATAATAATGGTTAAGCATAACTATTTATGCAGGTCCTTTAGACATTAGAGAAACAAATACATATATTAAATTATGAAGCTAAACTTGAGATTTAAATAAACAGCCTTTTCAGGGCAAATGACTTAACTGACTTATTTTTCTTTCTGGAATACAGGGCCACGATTGTTCCACACCATCAGACCAAATTTTGGACCATCTTCCTTAACTGAACCCATGAGAGTCCACTGGCCTTGATCTCCTCCAGGTTAGTTTTGGTCTCCCCACTTTCCTTTTTCCCTATGGGTTTCATTCCAGTGCCTGTCTTGTCACATTACTATGAGGCTTCCCGAGCATGTGAACAATCCAGTCCCATTTCTTTATCATAATTTATTCCTGGAGAGGCAATTGATGTGTCTGCTCCCATAAGTCAACATTAGAGATGACCTCAGGCCATCTATTGTGAAAAATGTTGCACAGACACTTGTTGAAAAAGATCTGAATCTTGGTTGCGATGGTCTTGGCGACTCATTATGTCTCTGAGCCATAAAGGAGGACTGATTTCATGTTGGTGTTGAAGGCCTTGGCCTTCTGAGAAAAAGATGGTGAGGTCCATATAGGTTGGAGAGATTTGAGGGCGAATCTGGCTTTGTTGATTATGATGTCTTTGTCTGTGCCTCCATCCTTTGAGATAATACTTTCGAGGTACACAAATTTGTCATCTTCTTCTATATTGTCTCTATTTAGCTGCACTGAGTTTCAGGCTATATATATGTTATATATTTTTTTATAGAAATGAAAATTATAGAATGAATGAATTAGCGATATTAATATGTGTTTTACACAGCGTGGTCATAAGTAAATAGACACCACCTTTTCAGAAAAAAATGAACATTTTCAGTCATATTCACACGAATTGATATATTTATAATTTAATTAGTATCTAGTAGATCATACTTTTACTTCGAGGAGTTCGTTGATCCTTTGGGGCATGGTGAGAATCATCTCGTCAATTTTAGATTGTGGGATTTTCGCCCA